TTCACAACGTATGGTGGTGAATAAGTGTGACTTTTCAGGAAAACACTAAATTGTTTGGGTGACCCCAAACTTTTTAACGGTAGTGTATATTTGAATTTAAGTAAATAGAAATTGTAAATTGTATGTATCAATTCATTATTAAATACTGGAATTTGTAAATGGATTTTTTTAAATCCCAAAACAAGAAAATTAAAAACAATCTAATTTGTTTCCAAGTTTGAAGACGTTTCTCTTTTCATCCAGGAAGCTTTTTCAATTAGTTTTTGTTTAGAAAACATGCAACTTAAACCGAACGAACGGGCATGCCCCTTTGGAATGGGGGTCGTTTGGCTTCTTTGTTAGCCTGCAATGCCCCATACCTGTCTATGCCTCTGAAAGGGGGGGTCGTTTGGCTTCTTTGTTAGCCTGCAATGCCCCATACCTGTCTATGTCTCTGAAAGGGGGGTCGTTAAAGGGAATTGTTGGCCTGGCTGAAGAGGCGAGATCCTGTGCTCTCCTGTAAAGGGGTTGGGGCTGCGATGATAGTGGGAAGGAATCAACTTTATCGCTGCATTTTAGCTTTTTGAAAGGTGAAATCTGAGTCCCCCCCCCAGTTTAAGGTTGGTTTTTCTTTCTTAACAAAGATGCTTCCTTCCTCTCAAACCACCTGTCTTCTTTGTCCAAAACGTGAACATTCCGGTCCTCCAAAGAATGTCCTTTGTCCAACAGGTGTAGATGTAGCGCAGAGTCTTGTCCAGAGGAGGGCGCTCTTCTGTGCTGGGCCATGCGTCTGTGGAGAGGTTGTTTGGTTTCTCCAATATAAAGATCAGATCATTCCTCACTGCATTGAACTGCAGACACTCTGCTCAGATTCGGTCTGGGGGTTTGGTCTTTAGGATGAACTAGTCTCTGTTTCAGGGTCTATTTGGTTTGAAATGTTCTGGGATTTTGTGTTTGGAAAAAATCCTCTTGAGTTTTTCAGAGACTCCAGAAATATATGGGATGGAGATGTTTTTGCATTTAATCTTCTCACCGTTATTTTTTATGCTAATCTTTCGTAGCATCCAGTTTATGCTAGTTTCCCCCTGGCGGTCTGGAGAACTTACCTCAAGCTGTGATCCTTTGCATCTTTTCTTAACTTGCAGTTCTTGTTGCTACTTTCAGCATTTTTTTCTCTGCATGTATTTTGTGCGTTCGTCACAATTCTGTGTTTATCGGTTTATTTTGCACGACCATATGGATATGCATATAGAATTTGGGATGATATTTTGTGACCTGATCTGTCTGCTGCTCTATGAATTTGAATAAACACAAATGCATGCCTTGTTCTTCCTAAAGAAGCAGCAAAATCCCCTCTAACTTCCAGCCACGGGCCTTCTCATGGGTGTGCATATTCTTTTACTCTGACTCCACTCTTACACTGAATTACAGGGTCTGACCAGGAGATGGCGCTTCTCTTTAGATCTTAATTTCCACAAATCGTGACAGAAAGAATATTTGAGATGTTTAAAAATGAATTGTAAGGAACCAGCCACGGAATGTGGGGAAATTGTAATGGCTTCTATTGTATGATGGGCTGTGCACTACTTTATTTTCTGTATCATATACGATAAAATCCAAATAAAATACATGTAATGTGACAAAACAAAAAACTTGAATTGATGTGAATATTTCTTGCGAGGTGACGTAACATTTCTGCAAGGTCTTTTCTCACCTTCCTTCTTGTAGAACACCAGCTCAGTCTTGAACTCCCTCCTGTCGTCCAGAGCTCCTTGAATCTGGGCCGTAGACCGGTCGCTCGTCTCGGGGCCGTACAGGAAATGGCACGCGCAGCTCTTCTGCATGAGTTCGGCGCGGGCGTAACCAGTGAGCTCACAGAAGCCATCGGAGCAGTAGACGATGGGATAGAGTGACTGCACCTGGGCATTCCCCAGAACAAAGTTACTGTCTGTAAAGGAGAGAGAAGATCCATTAGAACGGAACAACTGGGACCGAAATCTGGACTCATCTGGTTTTACACCTAACATTGGATTCCCAGTTAAACTCTTAACTCCCACCTACTTGGAGTAACCCTCTAGCCTGATAAACCAGACTAAATGTGAGAATAAATGTTTAATTTAGTCTGGCCCGGATGAATGAGACATCAGAAGATTGTTGATGAGAACAACCCATTGTTTTTCAAACCATGTCGGTGCCTATTGGCCAACGCTCTGACCAATGGGCACCACTGACTGTGACGTAGGAGGTGCAACAGGAAGCTGGTGGGGGAGTGTAAACAAACAGCCTGTCGGTAAAACGGTGAATACGTCCTTCTTAAAAATAAATTAGCGTAGAATCTCTTCCTGCTCACGTTTCAATGAAAACCCAAAGTCTAATCCTTCCAAAACTGATTCCAACGCGGAGTAAAAAAATCGGCATCAGAGCCAGGGGTCCTTCACACACGGCTAATCCGAGAGAGGGCCGCTGCAGACGGGCTGCGGTTAGCCTCGGAGCTCCGCTGGTTGCCGCAGTACTCTCAACTTCGGAAATTGTTTTTTTAATTACGCATTAAATCTGTAAATGGACCATATAGTGATGCTTTAAAGTATAATATTCTCGCCTCAAATGATCTTAAAACATACTGTTATTGAACAACAGCAACAGAAAAGAGAACTTTCAACTTTCAATGGAGCGCTCCATTGAAAGCTGCTGCTGCCGCGGTGCATCATACTACTGTTCAATAGAGGTCATCTTCTTTGTTGTTCTTTCTCCAGCGTTGCGCAGCTTTGTCATCACGCCCTCGAAACCTTGCCCGCTTTGCATCCAAAAATTCAAAACACATTGTTGTGATTGGCCCGCCAGATTCAGGGCCTGGGGCATTGATCTAGGCTAGACCAACTCGCAATGATTGTGGCCGCTGGTGGGTGGAGCTAGTTTACTAGGCTAGTAATCCCCGCCTATTTTGCATACCCAAATGGAAAAGCAAATACCTGAGGAACTGTAAGTCAATATTACATGTGTGATGCATAATTTGAAAGCTAAAATCTTCTAGTTCCTGAAAATATAAATGAAAATAGTGAGAGTAAAACTCGCTAAACTGCATGAGTTCAAATATAACTCAAAGTTGTTTTTTTATTCTTGAAAATAATAGGTCTTTTTTAAACAGCAATAATAAAGACATGCTTGAGAATAGGCAGGTCTCATTGTATTACATGTGTTCTACATCATGTCAACCATAAATGCAGAAAATTCCTAGCCTCGTGAGACCATCCTGATCTCGCGAGCTTTCAAGGTTTCACTCGCTAATCAGTCTGGAGACTCTCCGTTAAAGAAAATTTGGAGCCGTTCACCAAACGAACGTCCAATCAGCGTTGGCTTTGAGGCGGGTTGAGGTGTGACGCAACGAGAAGCGCGACAGTTCAGTCTAAAGAACATGGCGGCTTCAGCCGATGAAACTAGCGTTAGCGTGGCTATCGAGCAAGTTTTATCAGAATTACAGAGTATTTCTTCACTGAAAGAAGAGCAAAACACTGCTCTGGAGGCTTTTCTCAGAGGAAAAGATGTTTTTGCTCTTCTCCCGACTGGTTTCTGCAAGAGTTTGATCTATCAATTGGCTCCTCTTCGTCATCGCTCTGTTAGTACGTCATATGCTTCGTTGATCTGATTGGTTTATTTGGCCCGTCTATCACCAACATAGGCCAATCAGCTAACCAGTATTTTCGCCCCTTCCCAAAATTACTTCAACGGAAGGTTGGATTTGCTGCGCATATCCATCTGGCGGAGTCAGGTCAGAAAATTCCAGACCTCTAGCTACAACAGTTCCAGAGCTTTGAGCTTTTGGCGTCACCAGCGTCTGCAAATGCTTTTAGTCAGCTATCTGATCCATAGAATAACACTGAAGCATTTTGATGGCCACAAAACATTTGTGAAGCAAGTATTTTTCCACTTTTTTTTCCGAATCAGTGTATAAAACAAAATGTAACATTTATAAACCTGAAATAACATGACAATCTATAAAGAAATAGTGAAACTGCTGCTTTTCAAGCTAAAATAAGCCCAATAAGTACCTTTTCTGAGCTGTATTTTTATTTCATTTTTTATTTTTTGGCCTTAGGCATTGTAATAAAACATAATCATCGTCCAAACTTTAAAATCATCGGAGCGTTGTTAGTACTCAGCTTGGAACTGTGCGCACTGATCCAGTCTCAGTAACTCTTACACAGGCTGGTAAGATGGCTCTCCTTTATGCAGCTCAGCAATCTCTAACCTTGTTTGAAACCTTATTCATTGGCTACAAAGCCAAAGAAATAGACGACACACTGTCTAATTTCACAGAGCGCATCTTAGGCTGAGGGACCAACAAGTCTACATAAAAGGATGGTGACAGGATGATATTAGAAGAAGAGATAAAAGGAAGCTCGTTAACTCAGAACCTCATGAATCCAATTCATCTTAATTGGTGAGACTGTTCTTATCAGTCTACCAACTTTCCATAACCTTTAATGTTGGCTTGTTAATAATTAGCTTTATGGAACCGACAGATCCTGGTAACTGAAAATGATTTCATATTTGCGTACTTTAATTTCTGAAGAAAGATTTAACAAGTTATTCCCTCAAATTTTTAAAGTCTTAATTATTATTAAACAGAGGAATGAATCATTAGGTATGTCCTAGTTGTATTCATGTATTTTAGGATGAATCTCAGATTTAAATATAAGTCAGGTTATCGCTGTTTAAAATTTTAAATGTGATATCATACAATTTTTGACACCATTGGAATAAAAAAGGATCAATATTACCGTAAAATTAAAATACTTTTATTAACATAAAAACGTGCCTTTTTTAATGTTAACATGGAGCATTCAGAAATACTTTATAAATCACAAAGGGAAATAAATGGATTTAATTTAAACAGACCAAAAATAAAATAATCTGACAATATTTTAAGGTTTTCTACAGTATTATTCTTTTAATTATTCAAATTTTAATAATCCAGAAATTAAAATGTAATAAAAGCAAAAAATATGCAAAGAAAAAGTTATTTTAGTACTGATACCATGTCAAATTTGTACCGTTTTAATTTACAGCATTTCACTGTCAGTACTTTTCAGAGTAAACTCTACAGACACACCTACTGTATCTGAATGTTTGGTCTACATTCAAATAACATGATCGTACTGATATTAACATCTACATGAGATAATATTGTCAGAACTCCTGTCTTCGTCTTTGTGTTTCTGTGTTTGTCTCCCTTCCTCCACCAGGAGGCGCCTGGTTCTGGTCCGCCTCCTCACACACCTGCTGATGGTTTCCTCGTTAACGGAGTGTTCTTAAGCTGCTGACTGCCACTACCTCGACGCCAGAGTGTTTGCCAGTTTTGGGTACTCTAGCCAAGCTGAGTTTTTTGTCAACCTGAGTTTAACTTTGTTTTTGTCTTTGCCTCTTGGCAGGAAGTCATCCTGCAAACTGAATTTCTTGGACCTTCTCTCCCTGGAAGGATCAACTGAGCTACAAACTGAGCTGGGGTTCAAACAGGAGGTTTGGATCCACTTTCCCCAAGAAATCGTTTGAGCTTCACACTGAGAAAGGGATTCATCTCCACTACGACCCATTCAAGTACCGCAGGAAATCTGAGTGGCAGTCAGTTTCTCCGTTCTCCAACTATCAACCGCATTCTGGGTAAACCCTGTTCCGCCCTCCACTGAATCAGACAAACACTGGAACCATGGCACACAGACAGGAGTCAAGGATACAACAACTTTCTGGAAACTTCCGGTTGAGCAGTGTTCAAAGCAACACTTCTCCCTCTGTTTAACTTCTTCAATAAACCCGTTAAAGCTTTTCCCTGGTCTCTCTGAATTGGTTTCTCTGCATGTGGGCAGTGTTGTGCCTGAACGCGTTCATTGAACGAAAGTTCATGAACTCGTTCATATTTTGGGCGAACGAGAACTGAAC